ATTAAAAATATTTCTTGTGAAAACAAATAAGCAACATAAAAGACCAAAATGAAAGATGAACAATTTTTTTTCTCAGTGTACATACTTTTTTACTTTTCCCTACCACCGCGTAAATGAGCCTAATGTCTCCTACTTCTGTTTTTAAATTCTGTAATATTTATTGTTTTCCGATAAGAAATATTTTTTAACATTTTAATAAGCTCTAAAGAAAGTATTTTCATCATTTTAATGTGCACGCTTAGGTGTTTAGAATTTTAAAGTAAATTCTATAATATTTATAACTTTCAAGTGTTCCCTGAAATTTCTATTATTAAAAGGTTTATCGTAATGTATATCCGTTTTAGGTGCACTCAAAAGGATTTTTTATTTTTAGATTCACCCTGAAGTGTTTATCATTTTAAGGAGAATGCTAATATGTTTATTTAATGTTTATTTAATATGAACCTTCAAATCTTTGTTATTATAAGAACAGTGGCAAGTTTTAGGGGATGTAAGAGTAACAGCCCCACCCACCCACCCCTCTCATTGTAATATTTTTTCAAAAATATTTCATCTAAAATCAACAAATATTCTAAAATCGACAATTATACTGATGAATGGAATGACTATAATACTGTCGCATAAAATTTTAAAACAGAAGCGCTATTACACGCACTCGAGTATATACATTGGATTTAAATATATGATTGAAACCTAAAATATTTATGATTTTTAGGTGCACCTTAAAGTACTTCTCAATTAAAGGTTAGAAGAAACAGAAGAGGTCCAAGAATGGAACCTTGGGGGACACCGCACTCAACTCTTAGTAGTTTTGAGTGTTTATAATTATCTGAAAAGACACATTGTTATCTGTTACTTAGGTTATGCTTTTTATCCCATAGCTTTCCATTTTTTTAAATAAAATATTGTGATTTACAGTATCAAACGTCTTCGACAGGTCTATAAAGATCCCTAAAACATACTGTTTTTTATCAAAAGAATTACTTATGTTGTTAACTAGATCTAGGATTGCGTGTTCACTTGAATATTGTTTTTGGAAACCAAATTGCTTTTTATTTAGGATTCTATTTTTGATTAAATACTCATACAATCTGTCATAGATTATTCTTTCGAGAAATTTTAGAATGTTGTTCATAGAGAGAATTTTTTTTTAATTTAATTAAAAATTTTTTTTTTTAATTTAATTTTAAAATGAGGAAGAGTAGCAAAAGATTAAA